AGCTGTGTCCACTGGATGGGGCTGTGGAGAGGGCCGGGGCCCGGACTCTCCTCCCGGCAGCCCAGCAGCCTCACCCCTGGGTGGGACAGTGCCTGGCGTGTTTACACTGACCCTCGCTCTTTGCCCTTCTCGGGAGGGACACTCACTTTCACATCTGCCTTCAGATGCAATGGCATGGCGAGGGCGTGCGGCCCGAGAGGACCTCCGTGTTTATTCCACATGGCCTTCCACAGCTTAAAAAAACAGGAAAGTACTTGCAAGAGGGGGTCACGGCCGAGGTTGCTGTGACTCTGTCCATCCCTCCATCCTCTTACTTTCTCATACCAGTCTGGGGCTCAGGAGCCACGAGGAGGGCCACCCACCTTGCCGAACAGGCCAGGAGCTCGGGGCCTTTCTGAGCCTTCAGAGGCACCTGGAAACTGCTTTTCCGAGTCTGCTAGGTCAGCGGGTTCAAAGCAGGAGTCCCTTCTCTGAGCCTGGCACAGGCCTGTGCTGAAGGACCTCACGCAGCTGTGGGGGCTCAGCTGCTGCTCCAAGTTCATCTGTGGGATCCTGGGCAGGCGGGCAGGAGACCTCGCTCCTTTTGCAGGTCTGGAACCTGTGACATGCCCAGCTGGCAGCCGCAGAGCTGGGACTTGGCTCGGGTGTCTCACTCCTGGGAATCCGGGTCTGTCCACTCTGAGCGAGGTCACAGTGCAGGGTCTGAGGACAGCATTGTGGCCATTCCTGTCCTGGAATGGCTTTGGTCAGGGTGTGAACGGGCTGCTGGGTCCAGTATTCCTGGCCTTCCTGTCCAGACTCTTCCCGGTTGTTCTTTTGGCTCTGCCTGGGTGACTGTCCTCTGGGATGAAGACCCCCCCCACCCCCCATCCCCAGCCACAAGGAGCCAGGCATCTTCCTGTCATGTCCAGAAGTCCCTGTTCCTCCCCAGGCCCCGTACGACTTTGCTTCCGGGCAGCTTAAAATGGAAGCAGCCAGCGCGCTGCTCATTGGCTGTGGGAGTCCAGCTCACCGCAGCGTGAACAGCAGCGATCAGATCCCTGTCCTGCCTTCCCAGCCAGGCCCGGCAGCGGGACGTGGTGTCAGAAATCGGCTCTGGCCCTGGCCGGTTTGGCTCAGCGGTTGGAGCGTCAGCCTGCGGTCCGGAGAGACCCGGGTTCGGTTCCCGCTAAGGGCACGTACCTCGGTTGCAGTTTGTCCCCGGCCCTGGATGGGTCGTGTGGGTGGCAACCACTCGATGTGTCCCTTTCACGTCGATGTTTATCTCTCTCTCTCCCTCCCTCCCACTCTATCTGAACAAAATATCAAAAAAAAAAAAAAATGTCCTCGGGTGAGGATTAAAAAAAAAAATGAAATCAGATCTGATTTAACACGGATTGTAAGACCTAGACTGTGGCCGGATGGTTGTAGCGACACATATTTCCACAGTACTGAGCGGACACTGTGCTCAGTTCTGGGCCAGGCACTGGGGAGCTAGGAAGACACTAGGAGGGAGGCAGGACCCTGGCCTGCAGGCAGGGGACCCACCACGAGACATGGGACAAAGTAAATGGTGGCTTTACCATCTGGAGGGGCACTGGCCACAGACTGCTTCCACAGTGTCTGAATTTAAAAATGCTTGACATGAGCTTGTCTTCTTTATTTAACTCATAAGCCTGTGTAGCAAAAAGAAATATATATATATGTAATGTAATTAAGTGCTAACTGCAGACTGTCCAGAACATTCAGGGAAGGACAAGGGTGATCATACCAGGACTTCTCAGAGACTGGGAGCCACAAGATTAAATAGTGAGCTTTTTAAAATCCTCAGACTCCTTCCTTCAGAGGACAGTTTAGGTTCATTCGGTATATAAAATATGTATGCCAGGGGTCGGGCAGCTGGGCTTGCCCCTCGTACCCCCCTCCCAGCAGCCTCCCCAGGGCCCACCCAGGAAGCACAGTACTCTGATGGGGCTGTGGCCCAAAAGTGTCCCCACCAGCCAAGGTCCCCACCAGGGCTCTGCCAGCCTTCTCATGCCATTGTTTGAAGAACTGAGCCACCCAACCTGGCAGATGGGGCGGAGAGGGAGCCCTGTGCTCCAACAAGCCCGGGGGTTTGATGGTCTTAGAAGAGCAGTGAGTTGCTCCTCCAGAGAGAGTGGAACTGTTTGCTGATCCTGTTGCAAGAGGGGAGAGACTTCCTTGGTGAGAGGCATGCCAGTGAGTGTGTGGGTGAGCACATCCCGACTTGGTGACGTCTCCCCTGGAGGAGTGTATGTGCAGCCCCCATGGGGACAGTCAGCAGGTAACATCTGGCTAGGACTCGGCCAGATGTTGCAGGAGGAAAGGCAAGTCATGAAGCAGAGCATGGATGAGTCCAGGAGCCTGTCCTTCGTTCAGGGAGCTGCTGAAACCCACTTGAGCAGTGCGTGGCTCCCCGAGGTCATGTGGAAGGGTGGCAGGAGCGGAGTGTGGCGCACACAGGCATTTGCATGGATGTCGGACAGTCGCAACAGGACTTGCTGTCGAAGAAGACCTCACTGGCAGTGCTGAACTGTGACTCCAGGGAAATCTCAGGAGCTAATCTGGAGCCTCCCAGGGTCTGGAAGTGAAAGGTCTGACCAGAGGGTGGCTGTTGGAACGCTTGCCCAGCCCCAAAAGGATGTGGTTGGGTTGAGAAATTCTGCTCTGGGTCGCTCGTGCTGACGGAATGTCAGCAGCAGCCTGTGTTGGTAGCAGTCACTGTAATGCCGGTCACTCCTGTTCAGGCACATGGTTGGTCAGGTCTGCATGGCCCCATCCTGGGTCTCGGATGGACGCAGGGAGCAGGAGGGGGGAGGCATTTTAGCCGACAGGACATCGCTGAAGAGGAGGTGCCTCTGGGGAGATTAGAGGAATGCTGCAGGGCAGGTCCACCCAGGAGCTGTCCCTGAGCCAGCCCAGCCCCAGCGGCCTGCCCAGGGGACTCTGGTGCCTGAGGGGAGGGACAGCCTTGGAGTGGACTTAAGCCTGGAATTTCCTGCTCCTCCAGGAAGGGGCTTTCACTTCTCACCCACAGCTGCTCCAGCCACGGTCCCCTGAGGCCCATGCTTCTCTCTTCCCCACTCCTAACTGCATCCCATCGCACCCTCCTGTTCATCAAAGACCAGCAAGACCGCTTCTCTGTTTTTTCCTGGCACTGAGTCTGACCCAAAAACATAGCACTTGGTTCTCTGGGCAAGTTGTCGTTTGCAGCACTGACTGTTACCTTGAAGGCAGAAATATCTTCCACTTCACGTTCCCTAAAGCAGTGCCCAGTACCTGGGCAGTGGTGGCCCCTTGGAGGATCTGGGAAAGGGGAGCAGGGGTGGCAGGGCCAGCTCTCCCCAGCAGCTGCCCACCGGACTGCCGAGACCACATTCCCGCTCAGCCTGTGCGGGCCACACCGCGGGGACCAGCAGGGCATCCTGAGAGTCTGGGAAGGCTTCCTGAGGGTGGTGAGGTTTAAAGCCCAGCATGGGGGGTGGACAGCAATGTAGAGGAGAGGCCCAGTGTATGTGTGGGGGGGACACCCTGTGCACAGGGTACAAAAGGCTCCTGCATGTTTGAGAAAATGCAAGGAAGAATAATACCTGCCCAGACCCAAACCCCTTCCTCTAAAAAGAGGGCTGGGGAAATTCCACCCTCTTTATTCTCAATCAAAGAAAAACAAGGTGTTGCCCGGCTGGTGTGGCTCAGTGGTTGAGCGTCGACCCATGCACCAAGAAGAGGTCACCGGTTCAATTCCTGGTCAGGGCACATGCCCAGGTTGTGGACGAAATCTCCAGTGGGGGGCGTGCAGGCGGCGGCCGATCGATGTTCCCTCTCATCGATGTTTCCATCTCTCTCTCCTTCTCCCTTCCTCTTTCTCTAAAATCAATTGAAAAAAAAAGAGAAGAAAAACAAGGTGTGAGGAGAGAGGAGCAGATTGAGGCCACCAAAGTCCTTGGTGAGCCTGGAGGCCCCTGGCAGGGGAGGCCAGGACCCTAGTGAGGGAGAAGGTCAGAGGGGACAGCTCCCAGATGGATACCTGGCACCTCCAGTGTCCCCAGATCTCACAACTGGAAGTGTGACCCCTGGCACAGCAGGGTGTCCAGATCCCACCCAGGTCCTGGTGAGCTGGTCTGCAAAGGTGTCTGCTGTGTCCTGGGCAAAGGAGGGTCGCCATCTGCCCCTCCTGCAGCCCAGCTTCCCAGTGGAACCAGCTGTCTCCCTGTCTTCCCGGCCCCTCTGAAGGCTGCATCCCCACACCACTTACGTCAGAGGACCTGTGGTTTCCAGATGGAAAAAGATTTGAGTTTGCTCGCTCCCTTCACAGTGACTGAGTAGGACTTCGTGTAGCTTCAACCCTAGTGAATATGTAAAGGGACCCGTCTATTTTAGGAAACTCAAAGAAGAATCCTTTGATCATATCAAACACGAGTGTCCTCATGTATCCAGGGCTGGGAAACAAAGTTTGTAATTCAATGGAGGAGATGCTCACGGAGCAGCTATTGGGTGTTGGCGAGGAGAAAGCAGAACTCCGTGTTGAGTGACCTTTTCACCTTGCCGGGCCTCTTTCCTCGACTCAGAGTTGCTTTCTGGGTCTGTCTCTAAAAGAGGCCCCGTTGTGGGCCTGTGGGACATGTTGGGATAAAGACAGCCACGTGTTCAAGAGGCTGTGCAAAGAAAGCAAGACTGGTAACCACACTCGACAGTGTTTAAGACGATGGGGCAAGAGGTGTGATCAGAGGACACGTGGATGAGCAGTGTGGATAGTGCTGAGTGCAGAAGAGTGCTCCATGCACTGGCACAGTATGGAGAAACTGAGGCACAGAGACAGCAAGTGATCCGGGGTATGGCCAAGGCAGCCACACCCGTGGACACTGCCTTCTGTGGGCTGGGGAAGGGTACTGGGGGCTGCTCTGGTGGGGCCGGACTCCCTTGGGGTCCCATCCTGGGAGGAAAGCCAGGACAAAAGGAGCCCCCTCGGGGGTGTGCTGACTGCTGCTCTCTCCCCACAGCCTGCTGTTCACCAAGGTGAAGCTGGAGCAGGTACTGAAAGGCCCAGAGGAAGCCCTCGTGACCTGCAGACAAATGCTGCGACTGTGGCAGACCCTGTACAACTTCTCCCAGATGGGGTGAGTGGCTGTCGTTGTCCCTTGGGTCTGCCAGAGTTGACAGGTGGTGGTTGCCAGGGCAACTGCCTACTGCGGAGTGGCCACACGCCTGGTGGATAGGGCCTGCTGAGGATGTTTGAATGATGGTGTGGGACTTGCTGCTCCTGGAGCCTTTTACATCCCCAGTCTAATTTTAACCTTGTGACACCCTGTGTGACGTACATACAGGACCTGTTTAGGAGACTGACGTTCAGAGGGGTAAGAAGGAAATCATTATTGAGCATCTGGGCCCAGTCCTGGGCTTGCTGCTCTGTCTTCCACATCAGCTGCTTATATCCTAGACATCAGATGTTATTCTCACCCTGGTGGGGAAACTGAGACTTAAGGACCTGATATAATTTGCCAGAGCCACTTGCCTGGTAAATGGTAGTGCTAGGACTTGAACCTGGATCTCCTGAGTCCCAGCCTGTGGAGCCTGACACTTTCCTGGGTCCATTTGACAGCCAGAGAAGAGGAGGAAGCGGAATTCCAGAAGGGCCCCCTCGTCCTCCCCACTTACCCACTGTCGCTACAAGTCCTGTCTCCTGCTCAGTCCCCACCCTGGACTCTGGGTTTTTCCTGGGCCACAGCAGGGTACTCTTGTCAATGCTGAGTGTGCAGAAAGTCTTTGTTCAAACCCACTGGGATGTTGGGGTTTAGCTTTTGAGCCCAAAGTAGAAAAGGGCATCATGCGGGCCGGTGCACTGCCTCTTTGGACCCCACCTCCCGCCGCCTCTGGGCCTGCCGCTGTGTCTCCCTAGGACCCCAGGGGAGCCAGCTCCAGTGGGAATCCAGAAGGCTTTTACAGTCCCCAGAGGCATGTCTCTAAGGGTAAGATTTAGAGGAGATCCCAGGGTAATCCCTTGGAGTAAAACCCTTGAGCAGGGTAGGGTCGGCCTTCTTCTTTTAGGCCGGAAGAAGGCTCTGAGGTGAGGGACTTTCTGGAAGAGAAAGGAGGAGCTACCTGGCTGCTGTGAGGTAAGGGCCAAACTCTGGTCTGAGGGGCCTGTGTTCAGATGCACCTCGCTTTGCAGCTGACTGGCTGTGGCCGCGAGGGCAGGTGCACGGCCTGCCTCCCCTCATCCCTGGAGGTGGCAGGGTCCGCCTCTTAGCCGGATGGCTGGTTGCCTGCTCATTCGGGCCTTAGCTCTGCAGCCTCGTCCCCAGGCAGAGAGGGCCCAGCCTGTGCTCCGCCCTGGGCGAAAGAACTGTGGGACTGCGGGTCAGTGGGGATGGCCCTGGGTTTTTCCAGGCCACCACTCACACTCTGCCATCTGAGGACCTGGGAGAGCTCCTCCCCAATCACTCCTCCTGGGGAACCTCCAGGGTGGGGCAGGGGTCCCCCAGTCCAGCTACCTAGAGACAAAGGGTTGGGACGGAGGCCTGGATCCAGGACCCTCCAGGCTTTCCCCAAAATAGGAAACTTTCTTTCTCAACCTAGAACCACGGCCAGAAACTAGGGCTTGTCAAATCTAGTTCGGAACAGCTAAGGGTCAAGGCCAGAACCCACAGCCTGAGGGTCTGGCCTACCCGGCCCCACCTCCTGCTTAGTTCCGGCAGTCCCCTCTGCCCTCAGGCCCCTCTGCCCTCAGGCCCCACTGAGATGCCCCTCCTCATGGCGCCTCCAGTCACCTGCCTCAGGCGTCCGCTCAGCCCTCTCCATCTGGGTCATGCTGATGGCTCAACCTCAACTGTCTCTTCTCCCCATCTGGCTGCCAGATTCTTTAGGGCAGGAGCAATACTGTGTACTGGCCTAGAACCAAGTGGCAACAGGTCCCCAAGATGGGCCGTTTCTGGAGCCCTAGGAGAGGCCCCTTCAGAGGCTGGGTGTGCAGGCGGGACGAGAGGCTGTACCTGTGGGTCTGCCCCAAGGCAGCGCGTGCTGGGCCCCTGCCCACACTGTCCCATCTCCTGACAGCAGCCTCGGGAGATCGACATTCTCACGCTCATTTCAGGAGGAGGCAACTCACCCTGAGAACTCAGCTTGAAAGGCTGCTTCACTGAGGGTCACACAGCTGAAAAGGGGTGGCCCCGTGGTTTTAACCCAGTGTCTCTGGCACCACCCAGTGCCCCTGAGAAAGGAGAGAGGGTGGGAGAGGACAGGAGCCAGCCCTGACACCCTGTGCCTTTGTGGGGGTTTCCTCTAGTGCCCAAAAAGATGGCTGTGCATCGGCAGGCCCACGTTCAGGCCACCGGGAGCCTGAGTTGGGATGGCAAGAATATCCCGGGCTCTGGCATTCTTCGTGGGACCATCATCATGGAACCCTCTGAAGGGGAGAAGCATCTGGCCCCAGGCCATGCCTGCCTTCTTTCCCACCCTTTCCACCCCCATCCTCCTCCGGGCCTCCCCAGTCAGCAGGTTCAAGGACCACGGGCATCCCTGGCCGAGGGCTGGGCTGGCTGGAGGGTCCAACCGGCTATGCTGCCTTCTGAGCTGGGGGCCTCCCTAGCCTCCCACTATGAGAAAAGAGGAACCTCCCGAGCAGTGTCGGAGCTGCAGGGACCTGGGGAATTGGGGCAGGGGAGGGGACTGAGACCATCATGCTTGTTTATCTGCCATGCCAGGGGTCCCCTTTGCCGGAGGCCACCCAGTCAAGGTAGGGTGCCTGAGGCAGAGGGGCATCTGGCCCTTCCTTCCCTGGGGGCGTGGGCTGGGGACACTGCTGGTGGCCTTCGAGGACCAGGCTTTCTTTGGAAGCCAGTCCTCAGTCTCTGCGCTGTGCTTGGTGCTCAGCTACACATTGTGAGGGCAACAAAAGGTGGAAAGGCCTCCCCATGGCCTGGGGAGCTTCCGGCCAGGAAGGGAGAGTTTCTGACCCTCAGCAGTGGTGCAGAGATCCATGCTGACGGACGGCAGGGAAGGAGGGCCGCTGTGAGGGGCAGGGGACCACAGGAGGCTGGGTTCTAAAAGATGGGGTGTTTAGGTGGACCGAGAGGAGCAACGAGAACATTCTTGGTGGCTGCAGCATTAGCAGGCATGTAGCTTTGGGAATGAAACGCAGTGGCATCAGGGAACAGTGGAGACTGATGGCCAGAGGCACACAGTGGGCAGTGTGTGTACGTGTGTCTAAGCGATGCGAGTACCACGTGTCAGTTGAGTCTCTGGGGTGAGCCAGAATCTAGCGTCCCACACCAGAGCCCTGCCACGCTGGTTGTCTCCGTCCTTCCCGCTGTTCCCAGCTTTGGCTCTGTTCTTGGGCCTGAACTGTCGGCCCCAGAGCCTGCTGGGTAGGAGACTGTTGGTGCTCCGTCAGCCCTCCGCGTCACTGGGCCTGGCCCTCTCTTGCCTTCCAGAGGCCTGGAAAAGGATGGCAGCTTCGGCGAGGGCCTCACACTGAAGAAGCAGAGTGGCATCCACCTGACTCTGCCCGATGCCCACGATGCAGACTCCGGTAAGAACGCGTCCCGTGGGCAGCTGCTCGCATGGGCCCACAGCTCACTCTCCCAGCCTGAGCTCGAACGGGGACAGTCGTCCTCCCAGCCTGCTCCTTGTCAGCTGCTGCCCGAGGGCCTTGCGCTCAGGAGCTGCCCAGCCCGTCTTTCAGGGCGCACTGGGACGAGATGGCTGCTAGGCCTGGGCTGGGACACTGGCAGCTAGAATAGGGACCCTCCCTCCTGGTGGAGGCGAAGAGAGGGGTACTGGGTGGAATGACCGCCATGGAGCACAGAAGCCATTTCCTCTTAGGCTACACTCGGTCGAGGTCTGCTGTCCTCAGTAGGAAGGAATGCGCTGAGCTTGTATTTCCAGCTCAGAGCCCAAAGCTGACCTTTCACTGAGGACCTGCGGAGAGCAGAATGCATTCCTCAAAGACACAAGAAGAATTAGTCACGGGAATGGAAGTGTGAGGGAGTCATATTTATTGGCCTTGCTCATTTTTTTCCACTTCCGTGGACATGAACCAAGTTGCGCCTTCGCTGAAGTGACAGCGTGGATTTCCGGTGCCGAGCCCAGCGCCGACCTGAGAGGTGCATCGGAGGAGCGCGGGCGCGTGCAGGGCTGCTGACTCCGAGGGGAGGTGGTCGAGCAGGGCGTCGCGCCCTTGCAATGACAGGGAAGAGCCACGAACAAATTATTAGGATTCCGTGTGCATTCGTCTCATAAACTAGATCACCCATGGTTTGCCCTGAGGTCTCCTGAGTTTACTGGAGCCTCTCGCCTCTGAGAGAGAGAAAGTGCTCGCATTTCCACTGCATGTGAATTGTAAATGTCAGCAGCTCACACATCCGAAAGGGACCCACGTCACCCAGAACTGTCCCAGGGAGAGGTTCTCCAGAGGGCACGGGTCTGACCTGAGCTGCTACCCAAGGGTCCCTCACAGCATAACCTCAAATGGGGCATTTTTATATAAGAAGAAGAACATGCACTTGTGAAAACAGGAAGCAAAAATAGCACAAGAAAGGAAAATCACCCATAATTCCACCACCCAGTCCTTAATAAAGTCCTTAATTCAGGCTTTTTTGTATGCCCATGTTTTTTTTCCTAAAAATATGGCCTTCCTTTTTTAATTTTTTTGTCTTTATTGTTGAGAGTATTATAGACGTTCCCACTTTCTGCCCCCATTGACGCCCTCCTCCTCGCTCCCACCCCCTCCTGCCTTCCCCACACTATTGTCTGTTGGTCATGCATATATGCATGTAAGTTCTTTGGTTTATCTTTTCCCACCCCACCCTACCCCTTCCCTGTGGCCGTTCTTTAAGCCTGCTTTTCTCACCTAACTCGAACCTGGACGTCCTGTGCGTCAGTGTCCACATCCGTGCGTTGTTGTTTGAACGACTGCACAGTCTTGTGTGGTTATACCCTCACCTGTTTTTCATCAGTCCCTGTTATTGGACATTCAGTCATTTCAGCCAAAGTCAAGGTAACAGGAAGCAGTAGAACGAGCATCTTTGCCACGTTCATGATTGTGTTCCTTGGGGAGAGACTCCTAGAAGTGGGTTGCTGCTGATTGCCCGTGAAGCTCCTCACTCCCAGCTCGGGTGAGGGGACGAGGTGGGCCCCTCCTGGTGGCGCTGTGAGCTGTTTGGTGGCCACCTGCTCTGATTCGGTGTGCCCGTCTCCCCATGGAGCGTCGCAGTCCCTGCTCCTGGGACCTGGAGTGGGTGGCACTCCGACAGCTGCTCAGCCCCTCCGCTCTTGCTCTGCAGGCTCTCAGCGGGCATCGTCCATCGCAGCCTCCCGGCTAGAGGAGGCCATGTCGGAGCTGACCATGCCCAGCTCCGTTCTGAAGCAGGGCCCCATGCAGCTGTGGACCACGCTGGAACAGATCTGGCTCCAGGCTGGTGAGTGTCCCTGGCCCCCGTGACACCCACCCACCCGCTGATGGGCCACCAGGCTCTGGGAGCGTGTCCTGTCCAGAGGTGGAGGGACCCTGACAAGGCTCACATGGGCTTCACTCCTCACGGAGAGGCCTGGCTGGCCATCAGGAGCCTGGATCTAGTTCCAGCCATTTCTTCTTTGCTTGGCCCCGGGAAAGCCACTTAATCTGTCTGGTCGTGGTTTCCTCTCCACTGAATGGGGGACAGTGCCTGCCCGCCCTACAGATGTGAGAGGCTTGGAGGAAAGGCTGCACAGTTGAAGTCTTAGTCTTATCAGGCCCCATGCCTTCTTCTTGCCCAGCTTCTCCTGAGTGACACGAGTCAGGCCCAAGCCCCGAGAGCTCACAGAACGGCTAGAGAGGAGGTGAGCTGTGGTGGCCCCCGAAAGGCAGGTCTGAGGGAAGAGTTCATTGATTGACACCAGGGTTGCCATTTAGGAGACAATCCCTCTTGATAGCTAATTGGCACTGTTGCCACCGTGGAGTTTGAGGGTCAGTGTTGGGAGGAAGGCAGCTTCAGAGCCACAGTGAGCTGGGCTCTGATGGCAGCTCAGGCCTGCTGTCCGGATCTCAGATGAGCGAATGTGGGTCAAACAGCGCAGTGCAGGGCGCATAATGGTTGTTCAGTGAGTGGCGTTTGACTCCTGTCTCGTCTGCTGTGGTTGTGGAGGTAGAGGCAGCATGGCGCCACCCCCGTGACTGTCCTTGGAGCTCGGCTAAAGGACGCCGAGGAGTGACTGCCTGGAGTGATTGGAAATGTGATCAGACGTGGTGTGGAAGGTGGATTAGAGCGGAAAGAGAGGGTCAAGGTCAGAGACGTGCCTGAGATAAAATGGCAGCAGCCACAGAATAGAGAACCAGGTGACAGAGTAAGTGGAATCCTAAAAAGGCACCAGGCCCACACGCCTCCTTGTTTGAGGTCTGCCCAAGGGAAGCTCCTCACCTTTTCCCCTTCCGCTCCTGTCTGCCCCCCGTCTCCCAAGGAGGTGGTGCCGATGCCCCTGAGGGAAGGTGGGAAGAGACCCAAAGAGATCATCAGTTCCTGGGACATGTGGGTTTAGCAAGTTGGAGTTAGAATGAGCTGGCGGGGAATCTAAGGTTTCCTGCTGCGTGCAGTTCACATATGGACACATTAGCATGCAGTACGCCCCCACTCTCCCCACCGCAGCTTCTGAATCTGGAAGAAGAAAAAAAAGTTGGACCAGGACCCACAGAAAGGCTAGACAGGGAGCCATTTTAATCATGCAAACATTGCCCCAGTTAGTATATCGGGGTCCCTCCGAACGCTAGGCATGTGTCGGGGCTGGGCTCCACGGTCAGCTTCTTGCATTTTAAGTGGAAAAAGACTGTTGAAAAATTAAGGGGAATAATAGACAAGGCCTCCTCTTAGGCAAATACTGCCCTGTTTTCTTCTAAGGTGTGGAGCCGTAGCAGCTCTGGAGGGGTACGCTGGGGGATCCATCACCTTCAAGGACTGTCAGTAACCCAGGGACCCCCTCCAGAGGTGTACGTCGCCTACTCTGGAGCTCACAAGGCCTTTCGTTCCAGTGATGTGTGTTGTTTACAGTCATCAGCAAATGAAAATGTTTTTGCATCTTACAGACCTGCTTGTATTTTGCAGATATGCTGCTTTAGTTAGGGGCGCCAGTGTGTTCTGTTAACTCCAAGGAAGGCTTAAATCGGTCCTGAAGCCTAATTAGATGTGGGAATATTGGTATATACACATGCCCTTCAATAATTCGCACGTTAGCCTTTCTTTTCTCGGCATTATCCTAGATTTTCAGCCCACAGAGAACTCTAAGAACAAAATCTGAGTACTCTGAACATGGTACTGAGTACTCTGCCCAGGGAAGGGTCGGGCAGTGGCATTGGAGACAGGTTCGGGTACGTGTGACCAATCCAAAACAGCAGTGGCTTCCACAAAGTAGACGCTTCATTTCTCCCGTGGCAGTTTGGAGACGGCAGCCTTGTCTGGGATGACAAGTCCGCTCTCCTGGTCCAGGGACCCAGGTGCCTTCCATTTTGGGGCTCTGCTGTTCCTGTGTTTCATCCCTGTGATCGAGTATGGCCACCACGTCCACATGCCAAGGCAGACCTGGGAAGAGTGGGGGAAGGGGACACCTCTCCCTTAGGGACATATCCTGGAATTTGCACACATCACTTCCTGTGACAACACATTGATCAGAACTTGGTCACTTGACCACACACCTAGCTGCAAAGGACAGTGGGAAATTTCACTTTTCTGGGTGTTTATATGCCCCGTTAAAAATCAGGGGCTCTGTCACTATAGAAGAAAAGGGGACTAGATGGGTGGACCGCTGCCCCAGCCAGAAAGGGGGATGAGAGTGTGTCCTAGGTCTTCCGTTCTGAGCAGGGGAGAACTCTGCTGCAATCCGCATTCCCAAGCCCTGTCCCCTCCCCAGCCACCGTCATCTCCAGCCAGCATGTGCTGAGCACCTACTGAATGAAGGGCTTCCAGGAGCAGATCACTAAGGCAGTAACTTCTCCCTAACTACTGCCCTTCCCCCCACCGACCGGGCTCAGAGTGTTGACATCAGCACCCCACCCACCCACCTAATGATTCCACCAGCTGCAGCAATTTTGCAGGAAGGGAAAAAAAAAAATCCCCCTTTATCATTTTGGAATGAGCTAATCTCCCTGGTTTGGCTCAAGATAAACTGCATCCCAGTGTGTTTTGGCAGTAAGTTCCATCATGAACCCCCTTAGTCCGGGAGATGTTGTGTCCTTCCTGTCCCGGCTCTCATCAGACTCCCCACCCCTGTTCAGGTGTCCCTCCCCTTCCAGTCTGATGTGAGAGGTTTCCCGGAGGGCTTCCACCGAGATGTGGATTCCAGGAATGTTGCCTCTTTGGCAGCAGGTGTCTGTGAGGGTGGGAGAGGCACCGGGCCCATCGTGCTCCGGGACCCTGCGTGTCCAGAGGTGCTTTCCAGGAGGGCGTGACGGCCCACTGCCCTCTCACGATCGCTCACACCTGGGGAACTAGCAGTGCGCAGAGAGGCGGATGGATGGAGGGAGAGTTCCCTTGGAGGTCCAGGTGCTCACAGGTGGCCATTGGCTTTCTCTGGGTTGGGGGAAGTTGACACATCTCAGCTCCCGAATGGCAAATTCACCGTCTGGGCACCGGTGCCCTCGCTCTCTAGGTGTTCCTGCAGGTGGAAGCTACCCCAGCTGTCAGCTGGCCGCCTGGAGACCTGGAGTAGGGCACCCAAGGCTGCCCGAAGACCCATTTGTTATAAATTAGCCAAGGAGAAGCTGTCTTGTCCCTGGTCCCTTTGCCTCGCTGCCCTCACCCCTTCCCTTGTCTTCCTCCACTCTCTCCTTCCCCAGCTCCTGCCGCCCCCTCTCCCCCCTGCCTGCTGTGTCTTCTTTCCAAGTCCTCTCCCCTGCTCCAGCTTTTTCTCCCTCCTCTGCCTGCCCTTCACTCCTTGCAGTGTCCTGAGTCGGCGAGGAGGGCGCTCTCAGGACAGAAGTCAGGCCAAGGGCCAGGAAGTCAGGGAGCCCAGGCCCACGCAGTCTTGCTTCCCTTGTGGCTGAGGCAGATCCTGTCCCTCTCTAGGTCCTAGGGGTGGAGGATCTCAGACCGACCCCCAAATCCCGTTAGACCTTTGCATTCTCTTTGTTCTTCTCCCAGGCCTTGTCCCTTCTGGCTCCCTGGTCTTCTCTTTCATTCCTCCCTCATCTTCCCCACCCCTCCTCCTTTAGTCTGGGTGTCGACATGTCCCGGGTCTGCTCCACGGGGAGGATGCTTATTTCCTGTAGTTCTGGCCACCTCCCTCGAGGCTAAGGTGGATTCTTTTTAGGGCCCAGCCTTTACTTCTCTCCTGCCTTGGGGTTGGGGAGGCTCTGCCCTTTTAGCCAGTGGCCCCCTACTTTCTGAGTCTCTCAGAAGGTCTCTATCTCACCTGGGAAGACCCCCTAAAAGGCCCTCCCTGCCACGAGAGCGTGCTGACGGTCCCTGAAGAGTGAGTCCATCGCCCAGCCTTGGTGGGCGAGGCCTGGGCATTGGCAGGAATGGCAGGAAGACCGCAACCAGCTCTGGGTGCAGCATTAGAGCAGGATGCCTTAGAAAAAACAACAAAAGGAACTGTTGCAAAGCTCCAGGGACAGATGTTTTCCATTTGGAGTCTGCCAAGAGAAAGCACAGCACGGGGCGGGTGGAGAGAGATGGGGAAGAGGAAGAAAAGCTGAGACCGACAGGCAAGGCGGGAGGTTGGGAGCAGGCAGAGAGGAAGATAGAGAAGTGAGAACATCAGAGTGGGGAGAGTAAAGGGACTGGGAGGAGCAGACAGGGCCCTCCGACACTCCAGGGACAGCAGGCCCGTTTCCTGCGCAGCGACCACGACTGTGAAAATTCAAGGAAAATCCAGGAACAGTGGGTGCTCAGCCAGCCCTGGCCAGGGGAGGCCAGGATGGGTGTGGGCACCTTGGGGCCCTGGCAGCCTGGGCCTGACAGTAGAGGATCAGAGCAGTGGGCGGGCGCAGTGCAATGCGACTGTATTTGGTAAAACAGCTGCCCAGGACATTGCGTCTAGGATGAAGGATCACTCTGCAGCCCCTAGACCTGTGAGCCTGTCTGCAGGTCAGAGGCCCCGCCCTGGAGGCTGGGCCTGCCAGGGACTGTCCGCCAGGCCGCCAGCAGAATCAGGAGACCTCGCTTCTCTGGCTCTGTTCTGTATCATCTGGTTTCCTGCCTAACTGGTAATGAAGTCCATTGGAGCAAAGCAGCTCTACCTATTTTTCAGGGCATGTTTTCTGGTATAAGGCCAGCCTGACAAGGCCCAGGGCCCCAAGGAAGGAGGGAGGAGGGGATCCTGCCAATGAAATCTGTTGATGTCAAGGTGCTGTAAGGAATCCCCAAGGGAGGGACCAGGGACAGCCTCCAAAGATGCTCAGGAGACAGGGTGGCAAGTTGTAAACAGCTTAATGAGCCATGCCAAGATCAGGTGGGCAGGTGGGCCAGGCCTGGGAGGGCCGCTGGAGCATGGCCAGGGGAGTGGAGAGCCCGGCCTCTGAGCTGAGGTGGCAGAGGAGGAAGCCACCGTGCGGGCTGGTGCAGGAAGGCCTCCCCACCCCCAGCACACTCCACACACTTCCTTCTGCTTCTCCCCTCTTCTTTGTGACTCTGGGGACTTCTGCCACAGTGGAGCCCAGCCTTCCAGGTTAGCACAGCCTCCCTTCTCCCCTGTGCCTTAAGGCCTTAGCTCAGATGCTGCCTCCCCCGGGAAGACTTCCCTGACCACACCAGCACAGCTGACCTACCCCTTCTGAGTGCCCAGAACACTCAGAGTTGGCACTTGTCACTCCACTGCCCTGGGTCACTCCAGTGGTTGGGTGGCTTCACTCTTTCTCCTCGTGGGCGGGCCGGGCACACCGTCGGTACTCAGCAGTTGCACAGTGGACGCTAAGTTTTAAAGGCAGCCTGCTCAGAGCACCAGGCAGCAGCCCCAGAAGGGAACACAGCAGCAGAGCAGAGGAGAGCGAGGCTGGGAGCCAAACCCCTGCCGGGCCAGCCCTCCCGGCAAGGGCCCAGGTTCCAAGCCTACCTTCCGGGGCTCACCTCCCGCGCTTTGTCTTGGGAATCCCCAGTTCAGGCTAGCTCCTCTGTGTTTAATTAATCCTCTGATTCTCCCAAATTCACATCTCCACTAGAGAAAAAAAGTCCCTTTGCTCAGAAAGCCCTCTGTAGGGCTTATGATGTGGCAAGCTGTTTGATTACACAATGAGCCTTGGGCAGCATTCTTGCTAAGTACCCAGTGCTGTGTCCTGCAGCCAAGGCCTGCGTTAGGCCTCCTTCCTGCTTCTTGTTGGAACAGGGAGATGGGATGCCGGAGCCTGGGTTTTCCACCTCTTTCTGGGAGTTTCCTTTGGAACGTCTGTTATCCAGCCCACCCCAGACCTAATCTGAACTCGTGTAACCTCAGCTCTCAGCCTTTGCTAGGAACAGCTCTTGGCAAAGTCACCAGCCAGGCTCTGCTTGTCCTTCTGTGCTCCGTCTGTGCACCGGCACCGGCCCCAGGAGGGGCAGCCGGTCCGAGCTGCTGTGGGAGGGGGGCCGGGTGGATCATGAGCCAGGCTGCAACCCCAAAGAGCTGTGTTGCTGGGTGTGTACCTGCGCAGGAGGCTTTGAAATGTGCATTGGTGGGGCTGGCCTGGGATTGGAGAAACTGCCCCACTTCCCAATGATCCGGGGAAGAAGGCAAATTGGTTGTGGGGCAGTTTGTATACGTGTCCTCTGTTTCTCTCTGTTCAGCAAAAAGTTCTTTGGAGGGAAGCCAGCTGCTGGGGGGCTAGCCCTGCCTGGCCCCTTCCCCTTGAGGAATGGGGTGAGGTCTTCCCTCTTTCAGACTGGTTTGTCCGTGTGGGGCTCATGAGAGCACCTGCCTCCCTCCCAGACTTGGGAGGGTTAAGTGAGAAGATGCTTCACACAGCTGGGCCTTGGCCCACAGTCGGCGCTCAGTGCAGGCTGTTCGGTAGCTGTTACTAACACTCCTCGGTGGAGCCCAGCCCTGCGCCTTCGCAGGTGCTCCCTGGGCCTCTCTCTCCGGCCTTGCAGGATCGCTGGGCTCTCCCTCGGGCCCTGTGCGCCCTGTTACCGCCCTCGCTGGAGACTGAGAGCTGGAGAAGAGCCACCACCTCTGCCTCCATCCCCTACCCGGACACATAATAAACAAGTGACATTGGGGGGAAAGTCAGAGGCACCTGAGCAAACGCTGAGCTCTGGGAAATACCCCTCACGCCCCGTGCGAGGCTCTGAAGTCCAGTGGCCCTGCAGACCCTGGCTCCTAATTACTCTTTCTGGTGGCCTCAAGCAAGTTTCCTGCCCTCTCTGTGCCTCCGTTTCCTCTTCCCTGAAGCGGGGCAATAAAAGTGCTTGCTCTGCAGGCTTTGTGAGTGTTGGCTGAGAGGGTCCATGTGGGCACGGAGCACGGTGCCTGACACCGAGTGAGCACTCAGAATCCATCACCTGTTGTAGCCCCACACGCCGGAGCGAGCCGGGCCTGTAGGGATGGTTCCCATCACCTGAGACTGTTCCCAGGGAGGGGGCTGCCGCCTCTGACTTTTCCACCATGCTCACCTCCCACTGTCCTTCTGGTTTTGCAGCTGAGCTGTTCATGGAGCAGCAGCACCTTAAGGAAGCAGGTTTCTGCATCCAGGAAGCAGCGGGCCTCTTCCCCACCTCGCACTCGGTACTTTACATGCGGGGCCGGCTGGCCGAGATGAAGGGCAGTTTGGAGGAGGCCAAGCAGCTGTACAAGGAGGCACTCACGGTGAACCCCGACGGCGTGCGCATCATGCACAGCCTGGTGAGTCAGCCCCACCCCCCGAAAGAGGCCCTCCTCTCCCCTCGCCCCCACCATGCCTGCAGGTGTCTTGCTGCCACCGTCTGCTGGTGCCTGGGGGTGGGGGGTGGCCTCTTCCCTGTTCTGTTGGGAAAGACAGTGAGTGTCCTTCCTACAGAGGCTGGCCCTTCAGAGCCTGCCTGAGTGGATGACAGCGTCTGGGAGGGTCGGTTGACATTCGCTGTGACTTTCTGCTGTAAGTTTCTGTGTGGCAGCCTAGCCTAGAAGGGCTTCCTCTGTCAGATGTCAGATGCGCGCCCGAGACTCCAGATGCCACAGTGCTCTTCTCTGTGGGGTCCTCAGGCCCTGCCTGATCATTGGGCTGCCTTTCCAGTTTCAGAGGAGCTCCTTGGCAGGATCAGGGGATGTCCCGGGTGGGCTGTCATTTCAGGTCTGACTCCAGCACACATTGAAAACGGCCCCTGGGGCCTTAATCTTAGGACATGGAGGTCAGGACTTGGGTGCCCAAGGCTCAGTGGCCTTCCGATGAAAGATTCAGAGGCTGGGAGCGGAATGCTGGTGCTCTTGTCCAGGCCTTGCCATTCTCTGTCCGGGTGGTCATGGGCGGGTCCACCACCTTCTCTGCACCTCGTGTTTACCTGTCTGTGCACTGAGATCCTCTGACAGGTGGTAGGGTAGACCCAGGTATAACTCCTTCCCTGCCTTCCTTCACTGCCTTCAGAGAGCAGAGAGCGTGATAAATGCAGTGATCTAGGAGTACCGGCCTGCCAAGGCACAGTGATTTTTGAAGCATAATTTAGGACGACCCCCCCCCCCCCGCCAGTCTTCCCCTTCAGGGTCCAAGTTAACTTTGTGTCCCCTTTGAGAGCTCTTTTTTAAAAATATGTTTGTATTGATTTTTTAGAGAGAGAGGAAGAGAAAGAGAGATAGAAACATCGATGTGAGAGAGAAACATCCACCGGCTGCCTCCTGCACACCCCCCACTGGGGATCGAGCCGGCAACCTGGCATGTGCCCTGACCGGGAATCGAACCGGGACCTTTCAGTCCATGAGAGGATGCTCAGTCCACTGAGCCACACCAGCCGGGCCCCTTTGAGAGCTCTTTGAGGAGAATGGCCACAGAGGCTCAGTAACAGTTGCCATGTGGAAAATGCAGAAGGATCAGGAGGACCCAAGGGGTCTGCTTGTTCACGAATAGAAGCTACAGGGAGTTAGGTTTCAGCTGTGTCGGGAAAAATGGTAACTCTTAGAAAAGTCCAAGCACAGACTCAGGAATCCTCTGGTGAGCGTGTTGCCAACAGAAGAGAAACATCACACAGGAGTGGGAGCTGGACCAGGTCATCTTTATAAGGTCCTTTCCTACCCAAGGGTCCTTGCAAACAGATAGACTCCCAGCTCAGCCATTGCTCCCGCTGCCTGACTTGTGAAGGGCTGTGAGCTGAGGCCCACGAGAGTGCTGGTGTCCGCGGAGGAAGCCTGCACCGTGATACCATGCCCCGGCCCGTGCTCCCCGCCACATGGCTCCCTGTCGCCTTCCAGTCTGCTCAGCAAATGTTTGTTTTTTTGCGAGGCACATCCTCCTTCCTCCCACAGTTCAGACATTAGCTCCTCTGATGAATGCCTCCCCGGAGGTCACATCCAGAAACTTGATTAGGGAGGTGGGAGGGAGGATGTGGGCTGTCATTAGGCCGGCAGCCAGGCGAGCTGCCTGCCTTCCACTGCGCTCTCGGATATGAGCCTGCCGCTCGGTTCCTAAAGCCCGGCGAAATCCAATAACAAGTACGATTGTGAAGTAACAGTGTACCATTTTTCATTTATGCTTATTATTGTTGTAGCTATTTCCCTGAAATTGAAGCAGTTTCCAACAGTGAGTTTCCATGGTAACTGAAGAGCTGTCCAGAGTGGCTCCCTACAGATGTTTCTGAAATGGTCCCTTTTCTCTTCCTGGGGTGCCTGGCCAATGTGGTGAATTTGGGGCGAACCAGAGGGGCGTCAGCTCCAGCATGGGCAGTCCATCCCCTTTGCACACGCTCTGTTCCTGCCAGCACCCCACACATATGCATGCAGAACAGCCTGTTTCAAGCCTGGGGATGATTTACTAAGCACCCTTCCCCCAGAGACACATGCACACTTTGGCAGGTTGATCTCCAGCGTTTCCCAATCCAACTGTCTTCCCTACACTGACCTCAGACTCAGGACATCCGGGATCTAACCCTGGCTCTGGCCCTGATTCACTTGAGTGACTTAGGAAAAGACACACTTAACATCAACGTTCCTGATGCTTCCCTTTGTAAATGAATAGTAATATTCATCATTCCTAGACCGATGTTCTCATCACATGAGGTGACACGTGAAGCTGCTTCTGACAGTCCGCAGTGCAGTGTCAGAGAAGGCCGAACACGGCACACATGCCGCCACTCTCCAGCCCTCCACCCGGGCCAGACATTGCTAGTCGATCCCAGCACTTCCCCAAGGAGCACAGGTGGTACAACAGGAAGGCAGCCTCTGCTCATCGGCCTAAGTCAGCTTGCCGTTTATGTAAGGGGGCACTGTAAAAGTAGTAGAGAGTGGGAGCAGCACCTCAGCTATCTCGGCCTCGTGCTTCCCCGGAGGGTTATCTGAGAAAGGAACCTGCTCCGCCCCTCTGGAGTCATTGACAAGGCAGGTTTCCAGGGAGGACATCCTGGCTTCACCATGCCACTGTGGCTGTGTGAGGACAGGAGCTTCTGATAGGTTCCAGGGTCCCCTGAGAGCACAGCCACCCACAGCCGGGCTGGAGGAGCTCGGTCCCGCGTGAGCCCTCCTTGGTGTGGAAAGAGGAGGGCGGAGGTACACTCAGTGAGCCTTGTGGGGGCCAGGCTCGGCCCTGCGGTCCTAGGGCAGGATCATCAAACACCAGGAGGCCGGCCTCTCTCCGGAACAGGTGGAGAAAGCCTCTGGGAGCGGGGGGCTAATGCTTTCAGGAGCCGGGTTCGGGCATTTCTAAGAATATGAACTTTGGCCCGAAGCGGGTTCTCGACTCTCCCTGTCCTGCCCTGAATGTGACAAGAGACCTCTCCATGGTGCTGGCTCCACTCGGGCTTGGCTCAGGTTTTCCCACCCAGATCAGGCAGGAAAGAGACACCTCCTTTGCCAGGGAAGTCTCCACTGTGCCCCAGCAGTGTCCCAGAGGAGTCGGTGTCCCCGAGCCCTGTCCTGCAGTGGCCACGTCTGCCAGACTCCGACGGCCAGGTCGCGCTGGGAGGGTGCCGCAGTACAGGGGGGAAGAGGCGTGCGCTCTGCAGAGGGCAGTTCCCAGGGGAGCTCAGAGCAGGTCCTGACCGCCTGCCAGCTCGGTCCCAGCCTCCCCTCCAGGTAGCTGGAAACCCCACTCACTTAACCTGGGTGTTCGGAAGTTAATTTACTGGCAGAAGAATCTAGTTGAGAAGGGGGAGCCTGGACTTGGCCTGCCTGCCCCTGAGGAAACATGAGGAAGAAAGCAGAGTCCTTCTCCAGGTCAGCAGAGGGGCTGGCCCTGGGCGGCACCGCTTTCAGAGGGGGCTCCGCGGTCTCAGCCGGAGAAGGATCCTCGGGCAGCCTGCACCCGTCTCTGAGCCTGCCTCTGCCCTGCTGCTCCCTCCCAGGAGCCCCGCTGCACCCCCAGGGGAGCAGGGATGCCTCAGGACGGCAAGGAGCGCAAGTGTGGCTGATAGACTGGCCACGTCACTGAGAGCCCTCCCAAGAGGGGTTCCATTGAAGTCACCCGACCTTGATGGCAAGAGGGTCACGAGCCCTGGCTACAGTCCCACTCGTTCTCCCTGCCCCCCGCTTGGCTGAGCCCGGAGTATGGGCGCCTTGATGCAGCCTGTCTCCCTAAGAGAAGGCCTCAGCCGTGAGTTGCCAGGTGTGGGTGCCGTCCTGCCGCCTGCATTTGTGGGTGGCACCCCGCCCTTCTCTCCCAGGGACACACTCTTGGGGAGGGTAGAAGGGGTATCCTGCCCCTCATTGGCCCTTGCCCCTGGTCATGTTTTCTTCCTGGGGCACAGCTCCAGGTTCCTGCTGCCCCATCACCCCAGAACCCTTTCCCCCTCGGGTACCCCAGCAGCAGGAAGAGACTGCCCTGCGTGAGCTTCAGCTCCGATGATGGGATTCCCGGAGATGTAATTTCTGAAGCAGCCCTGGCCACATGACCTGGCCTCTTCTCCTTCCAGATGCCCCCAGAAAGATAGGAAGACAGCGTTTCCGTCACCCCTGCCCTCTGATGAGCATGTGCCATGAATTACCCCCCAGCGTTTGTTCCCTCCTGCTCCCAGCGTGAGGCTGATACTCCTTCTTGAAGTGCGTTGGGGGGATCAAGAGCATGGCCATCCCCAGATGGCCCCAGAGCCTCTTGCCCCCCTCCCCCAGACTGGGGTATGCTGCAGCACATCTCAAGTCTCCAGAACTCCCCACCACATCCTGGCCTCCTCCAAGGTGGGGTCTGAGTCGGTGGGGACTAGGGTTCTGCCTCACCTAGCCCTGAGGTTCTGGGTCCAGCCTTTTGCAGGTGCTCCAGGATCCATCAAGAGGTCTCTGCTCCCTAAAGCCAAAGAGGTGAACTGTGGCTACACAGAGCTCCCCCATTACCCTCCCCCTGCCTGGCTTCATCCCCAGTCCTGGAAGGCAGGACCAGACAGCAGAGGTGACTCACATCTGAGACAGACAACCACCCTGCTAGCCCTCGAGCTATGGGGGCACAGAGGTTGCTTCCCTTTGCTGGCTTTGTTTCCTATCAAATGAGGGAAATAATACAGGCCCTTGTGAGCTCAAGGGATCATTTTAGGGCTCAGATGAGTTGAAACCTGTGAAAAGATAAGTTAACATCAGGCATTTTTGTCACCATTTGCATGGAAGACTTGGTGGCAGGTGGCCTGAGCCCATCTTTGACCAGGCTGCTGTGGAATGAGGGTCATTGGCCCATATTTCCTTGTTCTGCCGGGTGGCCCAGCTGGGTACAAAGGCAGGGACCAGGGACCTCAGAGCTG